TACAGGCAAATTAGCCATGAGACTACGGGAAGGGGGGTTGGAGGTTATGAATATGCGACTGATTACGTGCCCATTAGGCTTTGTTGAAGACGGGCAGGGGCGAGGGGGAAAGGGAGAGTGAGAAAGCGCAAAAAAGGGCGGGCACTTATGTGGCTATTGACCATGGCAAGGTCGGAGCTTGCAGGAGGTTCTTCTGCGCGCACAAAACCGGTTTACTCAACCGGATAGCGGTGATTTCTGCTATTGCTAGCAAACGCTGACTTAGGGACTTCGAATAGTTTGATGGGAACTTATAAATCAGCTGAAGCTTCGTTGGGGTCCTCAAGATGTCCGCAGTCAACCATATGGGCAGGAATGGCGCTGTTGATGATTCCGATTTCACCTTTGCTCAGCCATGCCTATAGGTGCTTCGGTATTAATTTTTTTATAAGCGCCGACCCGTGCGATCGATATCGCCTGCTCCACAGGAGCAAGTAATTGAGTAGATGCACATGGAAGTGGTCTGATCTGGCAGCCTATCCTTACCTTCGCCGTGCAGGACCGGTTGGATTGAGAATCAAACCCGAACTTTCGCTGCTTGGGCGGTTCATGATACGGCTTGGTTAAGGCGTCTTCTTCGGAGTTCACTTGCCGCATCCCCTTTAAAGGACACTTTGAGGAATAGCGTCTTCTCTTCCTCAGTGCATGTGGTGGGTTTTATTTCTTTCTCCATCATATCCGTTATAATGATTCCATCAGGATACCTGTTCATAGTTTCAGTTTTTAGTCAAACTTACGTTCGCATTTTCTCCATTAGCCTGGATAATGGAAATTCGGCAGCCTGTAGGTATTTCAGAGGTATTTAGTCTCCTTTCAAGTAGCATCTGCTATATTGTGCAGATATAGTTCTCACATTGGCCGTAAACAAAGTCCCATATTATGCACATAAGCGTGGAAACTAGGCATTTAATGGATGCGCAGGTGATAGCATCGAACCACTTCGAAATCACCTTGCTGGTTGAGTTCGACTAAAAATCAATCTGTCGCATAAAAGTTTGCTGATGCGTTTCGTGGATAGCCTATCTCGTTTTAACAAATTAAAATTAGCACATCTGTAAACGACAGTTGTATATGAACTTTAGCGTTTGCAGGTCCTTTGAATAAGAAAGAGAAGCAAAAAAGATGAACAAGCTGCATATACAGTGAATTTTTAAATCGCGATTTGCGCTTCTTTTATAAATAAAAGTTTCTACCAGATTATTTTATCGTCTGCAGGGTGTCTATGAAACTGGAACTGAAATGCAGGAAAAATTGGTTCGGGAAATTGTGTGAAACCCACTGCAATCTTGCTAACAACGCTCTTACTTGTGACGAGAACGGCAATGCCATCTGTATGCCAGGTATGCGGAACCCTTACTTCCTCAATGTCATCCAACAAGTTTGAATGCTCATTTGAACCCGAAACATGCGGGGAGGGTGGGAAAATTCTTGGCCGACTATTAGGTCGGTTCCTCGCTGATAATAATGATAATGGTAATCCAAGTCTCGGCAGTCAGCCGGCTTACTGTGAATTTCCTCCGTTTAGTGAAATATGCAGACTTTACTGGCATTGCGGGCCTCTCACTTCTTACATTCACAGCAGTCAATGCATCAAATGGAACTTTGTTTGGATTCATAGCAAGCCATTTTAACGGGGAATCGGTGTGAGGATAATGGTCACTAGCTTCGAATTAACATGTTAGATTATGTTTAAAAAGCTAGCCAACTGCTAGCATGCTCGCGCAAGTAGTTTCATAGCTTGCTTCCAATATGTAATAATTGAAAGTCAAAAACGGTAAAGAAGGGGCCTAAAACCACGGTTCCTACAGAAAAATCATCTGTGCAATTTTAATTCATAACGAACAGGTCAAGATCTCCTTGCTGCGTCTTTGAAAAAATCTCCGAAAAAGTTTTTCACAAAATGTAATCTGTAGTATCTTTTGTATTGAATGTCACGGCAACATATCCACCTTTATTTTTAGAAGGCATCTGAGTTCCGGTTAATGTGATCAGTTGTCCCCAAATAAGATTGTTTGAACAGAGAACTACCGTAGTGGACTCGTCTCGCCATGCGAAAAATTCCTCAAGCATCATTTTACTACATTTTCTCATTTGAGCTATGCCAAGAAGCATCGAATTGCACTCCAAAATTACAAAATTTTCTCATATTTAGGGTACTATGGACCGTCCTGTACACTTAAAGACTACTGCTACTTCAAACCATGTGCGCCAAATGCTCAATGTGAAAACACTGATGAGGGCTTCAAGTGCATCTGCGACAGAAAAGACGGTGAGAAATGGTGACAGCGAGTTCTCTATTGCTTGTTAACTTGAAGATACAGTGGCGAACGTGGATTCCTGGCGACCTGAATCAGTCTCCTCTCTAAGTTGCTGGCAAACAGATTTATCATTTTTTCTTTTCTGTATATGTGTATATGAAACGGGCAAACACCTGGGTGCAAGATTGCATGAACATCAACTTGCAATCAATCGCAAGGACAAGCTATCTTTGGTCTATGCTCATGTG